AAAAAAAAAAAAATTATGTATCTAGCTGCATATCATGTTTTATCATTTTTACATTTGTGTTAATAATTTTATTTATTTATTTATTTTATAAATAAAGGAGAGTGTGCCAAGAGTATTGTGAAGCCATGAGCAAGCTCTCCCTGAGCGTGATGGAGCTCTTGGGAATAAGCCTCGGCGTGGGGCCCGCTTACTTCAGGGATTTTTTCCAGGGGAACGAGTCGATAATGAGACTGAACTACTATCCTCCGTGCCGGAAACCTGAGCTCGCGCTGGGGACGGGGCCCCACTGCGACCCGACGAGCTTAACGATACTCCATCAGGACCTAGTTGGTGGGCTTGAAGTGTATGTTGATGAAAAATGGCACTCAATCACTCCCAATCCACAAGCTTTTGTCGTCAACATTGGGGACACTTTCATGGTAATCATTAATAAAAGCATTCCTTAAAAAAGTTAAAAATAGAAATATAAAGGATAAGAAAATTTTAAAAGATAAATAATTACGTGCCTCACCTTGTAGGGTAGGTTTTGGCACGAAGCATGAGCTTTTTTCTTTTGTCTTATTCCATACATATCGGTCCAAATTTACGCTCCATGTCGAAGTTTCTATATGCGCGGGACACGTGTCAGTCATCCAACGAGTCGATTATGATACTGCATGTTGGCTTGTGGTTTTAGTGATTATTTTGGTGTTTGATTGAGAATCATCTTTTGCAGGCACTATCGAATGGGATTTACAAGGGCTGCCTGCATAGGGCAGTGGTAAACAGCACGACTCCAAGAAAATCGCTTGCCTTCTTTCTTTGTCCGAAAACCGACAAAATCGTGACCCCACCAAAGGAGTTGGTCCGCGAAGGAAACCCGAGACAGTATCCAGATTTCACTTGGCCGGCCCTTCTCGAGTTCACACAAAAGCACTACCGGTCGGACATGAAAACACTTGAAGCCTTTGTGAAATGGCTTGGACATACAAAATTCCTCCAAACCGATGGGTAATTATCAGTAGAAGCACATATTAGAAAGAGCAAGGAAAAATAATTTTTGTAAGAGAATCAATCGAGTTGTGTGTGTGTGTGTGTTGTGTAATAAAGTAAATCTATAGAGGCTGAAACAATTTGTTCATGGACAAATTGTATGGTCAACCTAAGGTTTTTTTTTTTTTTTTTCTTAATTTTTGTTTTTATGCATGAGGATAGTTGGATCCTTACTTGATCCGTACGGTTTTTTATGCCTATTGTATGGCTATATAATATCAAATTATCAATTTCCAATCTTATTTGTTTGATTAAGCGTACCATCTTTATGTAACGTGACTAAGTTCTCTCATTCTCTCTTTATATTTGACCAAATTGTGGCTGGTGTTTGTTCCCTTCAATTTGGGCCTATTTACACGCAGGGGCCTATACTCACACTACAAAAGAAAAGGCATTTAAGACGCTTTTTTTTTTTTTTTTTTGGTTTAGTGACACTTATTTGTGTCACAATTTTTTTTTCGTACGCTTTTAAAAGTGTCACCAGTTGCGTTGTTAAATTCACTGTCACGAATTTTATTGTGACACAAGTTAGTTGCGTAGGTAACTTTTAATACGTGACGCTTTTTAAAAAGTGTGTCGTTATTAAAGATTTTAGTGACACATGTTGTTACTGTAGGCAATTTTCATTGGCAACGTTTTTTTGAGTATGTCATTATTATTATGAGTTGTGACAATAAAATATAGCGTTGGTAAGTCACAAAATATGGCGCTTTTTTATTGCGTCGTTATTATAAGTTCTAGCGACACAATTTTTTTGTGTTGCTATTTTTAATGCATTACGCTTTTTAATTGTGTCACTAGAAATTTTGGTAACGCAAGATGTAGGCCTCTCTGTGTCTTATAAACACTAGCTTGAATTTCTTACACTAGTCATACTCTCAAGATAATTTGCTGAAGTGATAGGATTAATGTTCACAATCACAGATCAAAGAATGGTCAACTAGAGGGCCAAAGGTAAGGATTAAATATATTCGAACTTTGACCAATAGTATGCATAAACTTTTATTGAAAAATTGTAAATAGATTCGATTATTCTGAAAGTTTGTGAATGTATCTTCTCGGTTGAGATGAGTCTAATGGTAGATAATTGGAATGGAAGTCGGGCAAGCCAGAATTATTCCTTAAAGGCAAAACCTCAAATTTTAACGTAAACTTGAAATGTATCAGATTATGAAGAACATGAAGAAGGGGAAATTGTATTATCGTAAAATGAATCAGAATGAGGTTTTAGGGTTACAGAGATGTTGCATATACTATTACAACAATGAAAGAGTTGTTACTCATAAAGTAGCAACTTTACCCAAATAAAACATGCTTAACTAAGGTACAACACATAATGTATAATGTACAACTCCTAATACCGTCTCCCCCCGCGAGATGAGCATGAATGTTGATCATGTTCATCTTGGAAAGGAGATAATGAAAAGTAGGTCCTGGGAGTGCTTTGGTTAAACAGTCTGCAAGTTGTTCCTTGGTGTTGATGTGGTGAAGCAGAATGAGTCCTTTACTGATGATATTCTCTCTACTCGGGTGACAATCCAACTCAATATGTTTTGTTCTTTCATGAAAAACTGGATTACAAGCCATTGCTAAAGCTGATTTACTATCTGTAAAAAGGAAAACAGGTAAAGTTAATGATATACCAAGTTCATTGCTCAGGTTTATAATCCATTGTATTTTACAAGAAGCTGTTCCCATTGCCCTGTATTCTGCCTCTTCAAATTATCTACTACTTGTAGGTTGTTTCTTAGACTTCCATAAATTAATGAGTTACCAAGGAAAACAAGATAACCAGAAACACTTTTCCTTGTATCAACACAAGAAGATAAGTCACTATCAGAATAAACATGTAAATTTAAGGAAGAGTTTATGTGAAAGATAATACCTTGTCCATTGGTGCCTTTTACATACATGAGTACCCTTTGTACAACAGTCATGTGATTTCAAAAGGTGATGACATGAATTGACTAAGAGTATGCACTGAAAGGCAATGTCTGGTCTACTTATGGTGAGATATAGTAACCTGTTTATCAATCTTCTGTATTCAGAAGGATTAGCAGAGAGAGGAATAAAATTGGGAACCTCAGTGTTGTTAGACAATTTAACAGTAGGATCCATTGGGGGTAGATGCAGGTTTACATCCAATCATGTCAGTATCATTAAAAATGTCCAGTGCATATTTTCTTTGGCATGCGTGTATGGCTTTTTCAGAGTGAGTAAACTCTAGCCCAAGAATTTATTTTAACTGACCTAAGTCCTTTATGGTAAAAAAAGTCATGAAGATGAGACTCTATGGAATTAATTCTATGCATGTCATTACCTGTAAGAATGATATCATCTGCATAAACTAACAAAATAGTAATATAAAACATGAAGCAGTCACCAGCGGATTGAGAAAATCAATAAGTCAGAAGGCAAGTAGTCAATTTGTTAAACCATTGTCTCGAGGCCTGTTTCAGGCTATAAAGACTTCTATTGAGCTTGCACACTCTCGTATCATGAGGTTCATAATATCCTAGGGGTGGGGTCATGTAAATTCTTTAAAAAGATCATTATGCAAAAAAGCATTGTTTACATCAAGTTGATGAATAAACCAATTTTTAATGGATGCCAATGCAATAACAAACCTGACTGTACTGATTTTTGCCACAAGAGAAAATGTGTCAAAGTAGTTTGTACTCTCTTCTTGGGTATAGACTTTTGCAACTAATTCAGCTTTGTACCTTTCAATAGAACCATCAGACTTGTACTTAATTATGAAAACCCATTTGCAACCAATGCAATGTTTATTTTCAGGAAGATTTATTAAAGTCCAAGTGTTGGTTTGTTGATGGGCATTAAGCTCTTTTTGCATAGTTGTCTGCCAATATGGGTCCTTGGCAGCTTGCTTATAAGTATTTGGTTCAGATGCAAATGAGATTGAAGCAGCGAAACAACTATGAGATGATGACAGATTTGCAATTGAAAGATAGTTAGATATAGGATAAGTGGATGTACCAGGGACATCGAGAATGTTGAAATGATAACATTTGAAGAGTGTGTGTTTGGCAGAGAAGTTTAATAAATATCTAGTTATGCTGGAGTTTTGCAGGTTCTAGTAGACCTTCTTGGTTGAGGAGAAACATGTGGTTCAACTGTAGGTAAGGTTAGTGTTGGTGCTGATTGTTGAGACATATGAGGTGTGTTGTTGGTATTAGACAAAGAAGGTTGATGTAATATATCAAGAGTATGTGATGAAACATAGTCAATTTCTGGTAATGGGATCAATGGACTGTCTGAGGTAGAAGAAATATCAGGATTGTCAGAAGAAGGAGGTAGGGTTTTAAATGGAAAAACACTTTCATAAAAGATAACATCCCTGGATAAAATGTTTTCTTGGTATCCAAGTTGTAAGCTTGTATCCTTTACAACCTAAATGATAGTCAAGAAGTATGCACTTGGATGCTTAATGATCAAATTTAGTTATATGAGAAGATATAGTAAATGCATAACATAAGCAACCTAAAACTCTTAAGTGATCATAGGTCGGTTGTTTATTATAAAACATTTCAAAGGGTGATTTATTATGCAGGACTATTGAAGGAATCCTATTGATCAAAAGTGCAGCAGTAAGGACACAATCTACCAAAAAAATCAAAGGTAAATGAGCATGAAACATGAGTTCCCTAGCTACTGGCAAGATATGTTAATGTTTTCTTTCAACTCTAGAATTTTGTTGGGGTGTTTCTACACAAGACTTTTGATGAATGATGCCATACTGAGGATAAATTCTGAGTCACTATCAGTCCTAATGGACTTGATTTTCTTATCAAATTGTGTAAGAACCATATGATAGAAATGCAATAGACTTTTCTTGGTGTCTGATTTGTGTACCAATGGATATACCCAAGTAACTTTGGTAAAGTCATCAACAATGGTTAAAAAATACTTATATGATGAATAAGATGAGATAGAAAAGGGTCCTCAGATATCACAGTGTATAAGATCAAATGCATGATCAGATTTAGATTCACTAATAGGAAACGACACTCTTTTCTGTATAGAAAAATGACAATCATCACATGGAAGTATAGAACTTTTATCATTGTCATATATGAGAGGCAAAGATTTCAGCTTAGAAAAGGACAAATGTCATAATATGTTGTGCCATACATTTGTATCTGTTGTTGATGCATTCTTGCAGGTCAGGTAATAAAGAAAAAAGAAGGCTTTTACACTTCAGCAATGAAGAAAGAAGGACTTAAAGCTTGTGTCAGGGAAGACTGCAAACGAGCACCCTTGCTTCTCTGTAAGAAGAAAAAGAAAAAAAAAAGTGTACGTACTTGCTTACCTGTAAGCCGATAAAGAGAAAGAAAAGCGGTGGTTCGTACTTGCTTAACTTACAAAAGGGAATACTAGGGTAGTGTTGATAGTTCTTTTCTTTCTTGTGAAAGAAGTCCTCATAACCCTTTCTTCTTTCACAACTAGAAAAGGAAGATCGTTATAGGGATTTATCATGGCAAGCAGTGACGTTTACATGCTTATATGACTAGCTCTAACAAGCCAAATCTCTTTCTAATTTCAAAACCCTACTTTAGCCCACCACTCAACTCATGCTTCTAAATTACATCTATCGGACTTGGTCCTAGTAAACCCAAACTTGGTACTTAAGCACAAGGTCTTTGACTTCACTGGGATGGATTGCCTAAATAACCTTGTTGCCTAAGAAGATAATTCATCTCCTGTGATTTCTTAAAGGCAAAAAATTTACTAAATAAACTGTCAGTCAGGGATGATGCATTCATAGTAGTGTCATTTTCATTCCGAGCATCATTATCAGTAATAGCGGCATGTGCAGAATGAGACGCATCGTTTCTAGGAAACTTATGGCCAATCCAGTTATCATGATACTCTATTAACTGATAGCATCTATCAGAAGAGTGTCATGTATAGACACAGTGGGAACATTTGATTTTCTTCCTA